CCTTTTCGCTGTCCAGTAGACGAGTCTACAAACAAACAAACAACACCCCCATCTTAGACCTTTTCCAACTCCTCAGGAAACAATACATCTCTCGAACCCTGAATGGCCCAAACTCCCACGCCAAAAACACCCTACAAACCCCCTGGCGGCCCCATAGATGCCTCTTCTTCCGAAAAGAAAACTGCCCCAACTAAACATCAGACTCCTTTTCGATGCCCAAATAATGAACCTCCCACTTTCAGCTGAACTTAGCACTTCTCTTTATAAGATAAACTAAATATATACATTTTTCGCATACATCTAACTCGAAACTTTTTCTATATTGTAACGTGATACTTGATATTTTATCTATTTGTTATAATGTGTTTGAGCTCAATTGATTGGGCGTGGGTTAGGTTATTAAATAACTGGACTAACTTTGAAAAAGAAGTTGGGCACCACTATATTTATAGCTCACTATACTTGACTTTGGATTAGTGATAAAAAAAAAATAGAAAATCACTAACTACTAACAAATTATATTTTCCTACGACCACTTAGGAAAGTGACACATATCACACTATATAGACCTATGGAAAGTGCCCTATATCACACGCGTATGAATAAGAATTTACTTTCCACCCAAGTGAGAATATGCTACTTTCCGCAGTAGCTGTCAGAAAATGTCAAACACATAATTTCTATTTTGATCTATGTAATGTCCATATTAATGCTAAAATCGATATGATTGTTAAATTATTGTAAATTAGATCCTAGATATTTATCTTTAACAATTATTTTTAAAATAACTAAGATATATTTGCTTTTTATTCTGGTTAAATACATAAGCGATTAGATCAATCAATTACCGTAAGGCCTGTTAGCTCAGTTGGTTAGAGCATCAACTTTGCAATTTGAGACCGTCCAACGACCGCGATCGAATCCTGGCTGTGCCAGAATTTTTTTTTTTTATTTTTTTTTTTATTTTTTTATTTGTTTAGAAATTATGAAAATTTAATAAATACGATTATTGTTGATTATTTTTTTAAATACATTTTAATTATTATAATAATCTGGTTTTACATTTTTTGATGAAATTATTTTGTGGTCGTAGGAAAAATATTGTACATCACTTGTGTGAAAAGTGTATTTCCCACTCGTGTGAAAAATGTCACTTTCCACACTCGTAATGTAATATACTATTAAATCATGCTTTAGATAAGGTAGTAACAAATTCTAATTCACACAGTTTTACTAAATTCAAATTTAAGATGATTTATTCAAAAGCACTTATCTGTTGTTAAAAGGAGGTAATATAAGGAATGTTTATCGCATGGTATATCTTCAGGCAACTTCTTCAAAGGGATTCGGGATCCTTATTCGTAATTCTGCAACTTGAATGATCTCGTGATATTTGGCATTCTAACTTAAACTAGAAACTGTCTAGATCTTCTAGAGATGAATCAACCCATGTCTTCAGATTCTACCAAAACCAATACAAACTTCTAGGTATAAAAACCATCAAACTTCTTGATAGAAACTCAAAATGTCTAGATATAAATCCAAATAAACCGTCTAGATATAGCCATGCTAAAAAGAAAGATTTAAAGTGTTAAGACAGGAAATAGGAATTTGGAACAGGATTTAGATAAATTGCTTTAACGATTAAATGAACAATTTAAAACTATTAAATGAATAATTTCATAGAAACTAAAATTAATATGAAGAGGAAAAATCTAATTTAACATATTTAAACATTGTAAAGCATAATATCTTATTCCGAAAAACAATAATATATAAATTATTATAAAACGAACATGTGTTATCCATTGTTGATATTGAGGTTATGTACAATACTTGACAATTTATTTAAGAAATCCTTGTAATTTTAACAATATATTAGCAATAAAACTTACCTTATAAAATAAGATGGAATTTACGATAGATAAAAATCAATTAGTACATCGGATGACCAAGATATTAAAATGAATGTGATCGAGTTGATATATTCAAATCAAATGAAATACGAACTTTTGACACAAGGCATAAACGACAAATGACATTTGAGTAGAGGTGATTGTGTCAAAATAGCGAATAACGGTTCCAACCGTTACAATATATGGAGTGGCCCAAAAGTCTGGAAACGGCCAATTATCTCGTAAATTGCTAATCCTTATTGTACAAAATTTGGGATACACTTATTTTGGGATACGGAGATTTCAGATTTGATATTTGCAATGTTGCCAGATTTGCCGTTTCTCTTATATTATTAGTCACTTTGGTTTTTTCAAATTCATCATCCTGTATATTCTGTCATTATTGGAATCTCCTATTCAATACCAGTTCAACCATATGTGACAATTATGATTTTATGTAGTCTGGAAGGTCTTAAATAAATAAAACAATCATGGAGAAATGTGGTAGACGCATTCTACCATCAATTAGGGTACTGTCAACTCACAAATGGAGCACATTTTGAACACTTGATAAAGTAATCATTATTTTAAAAATGTTATTATCTTTCAATGTTAATGTAGTTGAAAATAGTTTGTATTAAAAAATTTATTGAGACAATTACTCGTTGCCAGACTTATTTTATTTATTTAAAACCTTTCAGACTACATAAAATTATAAGTGTTACATATGGTTAAACTCGTAATGAATAGGAGATTCCAATAATGATTGAATATACAGGGTGATAAATTTGAAAAACCAAAGTGACTAATAATTTAAGAAAAACGGCAAATCTGGAAACATTGCAAATATCAAATCTGGAATCACCGTATCCCAAAATAGGTGTAAAATTTTGTACAATTAGGCCTAGCAATTTACGAGATAATTGGCCGTTTCCAGACTTTTGGGCCATTCTGTATATAATACATATGAAGTTTTTGAACCTATTGTAGGTAATTTATTTATACATTCCTGTTTAAAAAGAATAAAATAAACAACTTTATTATTATATTTTGAGTAATTAATAACATTTATATATGGAATGAGAATAAGAGTTTCAAATTTGCAATCCTTTTTGGTATTTTTGATTTTAGGTGGTATATTTATAAAAACTTCTTGTTTTATTGTCAAGTTTTTACCCATATTTTTGAAATGAATCCAGTTTTATGCCTTGTTTTCCACCTAAAACTAATACAAACTTATTAGTATTAATATTTACCTACTAGTTGATCAACTACGTTTTATAAATTTATATCAAATTTAAAACAGAAACAATTCAAGAATGTCTTTATTTACATCAAAATAAATATAAAAGGAAGATAATAGTTTGTGTTTTATAACAGCCCTGAGCCCACTATCGTTTTTGAATGTCTAGATTTTGAGGAGCTTCTATAAACATTTTATCAAATTGAATGTTTTATTTTTAATTCACATATGGACCAAGTTCTTGAAAATATAACCAGATATTTTTAATTTAATGCAAAATTAAACAAATATTTATTTTACTTTACTTTTTAAAATAAATTTCAATGTTTCCCACAATCGATGTTGATGGTAAGAAATTTTGAAATTTTTGTGTCTTGAGACAAGAAAACATAATTTTAATCCAATTTTACAAAGAGATAACTATCATAAATGTTACTATTAAAAAAAAAAGATCAACTTTATGTGTTATGGGGTGGTTACAAGATGGTTATGGTATCAGTTTCTTTAGTGACCAATAGAAATAGGCGCATTATTATGACGCGGTAAATGGCGCAAAAATAGAGTGTTTTAAATAATTGATTTAAAAGTGAACTTTTTAAAGTACTATAACTTTATTATTTATTATCTATTTAAATTATTTATTGCAGATATTAGGGACATAAAGATAGAAAACATCTATGCGTCCAGATGTTAACTACAGGTATACGTCGTTTTTAGACAGACCAGAATTGCAAAATATTTTTTTTGAGAGATCGTACAAGTAGGGTAGAAAAATGGTATTTCGACAAAAAAATTGTACAATAGATACATGTATAGCATAATATAACTTAAATGGATTGAAAAAAATAAAAAAAAACCTTTGGCATGATAATTTATTTATCTATTTATAAAAATGTTTACAACGAAAAATACATGAAACTTTAAATTAACACATTTAAAGTAAGCAATGACTGACACTTGAAAGTGACTGAAATTTTGCATGCAAGCATTTCTTTACGATAAGTGAGAACGAAAATGACTGCCTTCAGAAATTACGAACGGCCTATAAATCTTTTGCAAGTAGTTTTTTGATTTTTATTGTTTTATGTTCTGAAGTTGTTGCAGATATTTAAATAAACCTACTAAAAAGTACGATCTCACTGATGCAATCGTACATCGTACAGAGAGTTAAAAAATCATATAAATACAATTTAAATCGTACGGTTGACAACACTGAGACAGACAGTAGACGTGGACAGTTGGTAAATATAAACTTCAGTTAGTTTTATGTATATCGAAGAATACTGAATTTAAATTTTAAATTTTGAGTTCATGATTGTGTTATCCTCTAAATGAACTAAGCGAAATAGTGGTGGCTGTTTTTGTGTGAAATTTGAGGACAATAATAATTATATTTTGTAATATTACAATCAGTCGGAAAACATATTGCATTAGTAACACATGCTACATGAATTAATTTAACAACCCCAATGTGGCGTTTTTTAATTAACCAAAGTAAGATCTAGTTATGTAAGTAACACAAATAGTAACCAACCTTTGTCACAAAGTAGGTACCTATTTATGTATTATTTATTGTTTTAGAACATGAAAATGGCTTCAAAACGTTAGAAAGAAGATTTGATATAGTGCGGCACGCCTATGGCTATGCATCACGGATAGATTCATCATATTATCAGAAGAATGTATTACGACGCATGATATGAGTATATAAGTTCATGTATGATAATTGATTGATTCATTGTTACTTATTCCTTAAAAGTATTAAATATAAGGTGTTATTAGTTCAAAAGGTGTATAATTGTGTTACCCTGACAATATTCCTACATCAGAAGTGGTGAACTGTGTGCTTCTATTGGTGCATAATGCCGAAAGACCGAAAAAAGAGAAAGAGACGACATTCAACATCCAGCAGCAGCTCAAGTTCTTCAGGTGACGAAAGTCAGCGAAATTGGAAGAAATCGAAAAAATCGCGTAAGATAATGAGCCCTTTGATGGCAATAATGAGCCCTTTGATGGCACTATTGAGCCCTCTGATGGCAATAATAAGCCCTTTGATGGCACTAATGAGCCCTTTGATGGCACTATTGAGCCCTCTCATGGCAATAATGAGCCCTTTGATGGCACTAATGAGCCCTTTGATGGCAATAATGAGCCCTTTGATGGCACTAATGAGCCCTTTGATGGCATTAATGAGCCCTTTGGTGGCACTAATGAGCCCTTTGATGGCACTAACTAGCCCTTTAATGGCACTAATGAGCCCTTTGATGGCAATAATGAGCCCTTTGACGGCACTATGTCGACAATAAAGCCCTCAGTGGCACCAAATAAACTATTAATGGCATTGGATGGCAATAATGAGTTGATTGGTGGCAACGAGGAACACTTAATTGCCAACCTGAACGCACTGAGTGCGGCTTCTCTAATGGCAACAAAATTTTAATTATTTTATGTAATTACAGGTTGAAGTTCTGCAGTATGGTTGTTGAGGACAAACAACATGTCAGGATGACCGTGCGGCACGCCTATGGCTATGCATCACGGATAGATTCATCATATTAGAGAGTTGAAGTGAAGCTAGAAACGTAAACGTATACGTGAAAATTGACATCTACGCATGCGCATTCAAATATCCGTCACGTTCACGTCTACGTACATACGTAAGCTTGCGGGCTTTGGCGTATGCACGTAACCTCCGAGCAATTACTAATAGAGGGAGCGTGAAAACGAGTTTGTAGGCGATTGTTGTGTTAGCAACATCTGTGGAGGAAGTGAGGAAGCGGGCACAAGGGGGAAGGTAAACATCCTTCTTGTTCAGTGGCGTATCATTTATCTATAAAAACACACATTGTCCAAACGTTTTAATTGTAAAAAAAAACTAAAAAATTTGCTAATTTTACTATTTTTAAAATGAATACCATCTTATATGTGTTTAATGCAGGAAATGAAACAAAATCACTGTAAAGGTCTAATTTTTTCAATTGAAGAATAAAACCTTAAAATCAATTTTAATATAAATAAATACAGGAGCGACTAGTTTCGGCCTTACAGGAACATCTTCAGGCCTGTAATACAGTAATCATTAATTATTATAATAGGTTGGTCACTTAGGAATAACATTAAATAGTATAAACCACAAAAATGGATCCATATTGTAGCGTTACAGCATTATAGAATTAAAGCTGTGAAAATAAAAAAGCAGTGCAAACGTAACTAAAAATAAGAAAACTGAGTACGGAATCTACAAGAGAAGAGGTGAGAATGAGCAATAACGAATGTATTTAAATTGCTCGGGATAACAAATAAAGCTGATAATGTAGTGGTATAGTCCCCGTCAAAGAAGGTCTGGATAAGTTAAGGAGGACGGCGTTTTCTCTGTAAATCTGGAGAATTTAAGGATGGAGGGAAGACGAATCTTGCTGGCTCAGGTGTAGATGGCTAGAAAAAGGAGCATGTAGATGAAAGCTCCAGTAAATATCGTCACTTTCGTCTAATTTTTAATTCTCACTCACCGTTTCGGCTTTATTTTCGAAATTCATTTTTAAAAGGAAATAAAAGTAATCATTTATACAAGCATATAATAAAACAACATGAATTCATTATATTTAATAAGCTAATAAACGTTTGTTTCACTGAAAAAAACATATATGTGAATATAAAAAATATATAAATAGATAATATTAATATTAAAATTAATTTGAAGATATAACAGATAATAAAATGAAATAAATTAATACAAGTACAAATAAAAAGTTAATAACATACCTTCTAAAAGTAACACATTTTAAGTAGATGAAAATTTAAAGAGTTTATTCCTGAACATAACTAATCTAACGTTTTCCCCCTTTTTAAAATTATGAGGGTTTTTGTAGTTGAAATGAAAATTATAATTTATTTTGGTCCTAATAAAAATTTAAACATAGGTTATCAAAGAGTAAATAAAATACATAATAGAACTTCATAATCTTAAATCGTTATCAAAAATTATTAATGGTACAACTTCAAACAATAATTAGATTCTTAATCAAATTGCTAGTTTTTGTTTTGCAAAAGACTTTTTGCCTTCTTCGGTTGCCTCTGTCACTTTTCTTTTAGTAGTTTCGAGGAGAATTTTCCCATGGAAACCAGTAGAACCATCAATTGGTTAGTAAAACTTTGATATTTTGGGTCTGGTAAGTCTTGTTAAACTTTCTTCTTAGGAAGCTGTAACGTTATGGAGAATAAAAATTTAATGTTAGATCAGAAGCCCTTAATTGAGAATTATATTTGCAAAAGGCCGTTTTAATAATATTTTCAAAAGTTCTTGGAATCGTTGTTAACAGAAACCTGCAAAAAAATATATCATTTTATTCCTAAAATATAAGATATCACACAATGCACATTCATATATCATTGTGCTAGAAAAATACTAGGTAGGTACTGAGACAATTTAAAAAAATTATTTCGAGAAACTCAACTTTTAATGTCATCATTGTACTTAACTTTTTTATTGTAAAATTATTAATAATGTCATTTTGTGTAGTTCGTTGTGATTTGTATAATATATATTATAAAAACCTATCGTCAATGTTAATGTGCCAAGTTTTTTTAATAATTATGTCCTTGTTATAGTAAAAAAACATTTAAACACGTTTTTGAAGTTTTCTGGATTTCTGCTTTAAATTACCGTAAAAATGAACTGACTAATTGTGTGTTTAAGTAAAGGTATATCTCTTTTATGTTATAACAGTCTTTGTATATTGTTCTAACTTTTTAGATAATCAGAGAAAACAGTAAGACATCTTAATATATCCTATTTCACCAACAAACATGTAGAATAATTAATCTCACATCAAACGAAAAAAGTCATTTCAGGATGTCCTAAGAGGTTTTAACTTAAAAACTAAACATTGCAACTGTGTTTAAATAAATGAATGTTTTTATACCTGACTATAGCACCAGAAAAACATTTTTTTAGATCATAATGATCTGCATAACTCAAAATAGTCAAAATCCACATTATTTAAGTTATTCTAGTATTGTTTCAGCATAACGATGTAAACTCCAATAATAAATATTCACATTTTTTTGGGACGTTTTTAAGGAAATTAAAAAAAAACATGAATAATGTGATATTCTTGTTTAGTTTTGTACTATATAATATAGTTCATTAGGTAGTGATTTAGAAGCAAATTATAATCTATTTATAGAATAAAAAATCACTCATAATATCTAAATATTTATACCTATTTAAATTTTGGACAGGAAGACTATTTTATGTTTTTGGCTATGAATAGTTTTCTTATGAATTTTAAAACCTTCCTTAGCTCTTTTGGGATATTCTTAGAAGTTCATTTTGTTTAAACCTAAAACAAATTAAGTACAAAAAATGAAAATTTAAACAATACACAAAATTAGTCTTTTAGGTTAGTTAAAAAAAAGTGTCAACAAAAAAATGGCTATGCCTTTTTCCTTAAACATTCTTTTTGAAAGAAACTTAAGTTTCTCCACTTACTTGCTGTTTTAGTATTTTAGTAGCAGATGAATATAGTGTAGAAGTAGTGACAGGATTGATTATTATACTTCTTTCGTCGAAATTGCATTTTTCTTTAATATTTTCCTCCCCTGAGGTCTATAATAAAAATGTTCATTAGCATAAAAAGGTATTCAGGTGGTCACTTGTTGAATTCTTAAATTTTGGAACCATGTATTTCTTTCTCATATCAAGAAAAGGAATCCTAAAAAAAATAACAATAAACTTTACAAAGATGTGTTATTAAAATAATTATACGTAATTAACCTCTCTCTTAAACCTTTACTATAATCATTATGATACAGATGAAGACGAACTTAGCTGGGATTTATTCCCTCTTAATTTTACTTTTTCGAAAATAAGAAAGTTCAATTGCAAATTAAAGGTGATTGCCTAATGCACCGCCTCTGGTAATTAAGTTGTATTTGTACTTACCTATGATATAATCTTGAAGAAGCATTTTCAACAGGTCTTTTACACATAAAGCATGTTTTCACCATAATATTACAGATAATAAATCTTCAATATACATTTAAAACCCTTACAAGGCTATAAATAATTATATTTTTCGTAAAATACAAATCAATAATTGACATGTGTCAGAAAGTGTCAGAACGAGGTCACAACTTCACTGTCAAACTTGGCAACGCTGATTAAATAAGCCAATTACAGAAGAGGTATTTCCCCCCTCGGGGGGAGTAGATGTTGCTAACAAAATTTAGCGCGGGGAAGGGGGGAAGACTCCCTCTAGTAGTAATTGCTCGGAGCACGTAACGCAAATAACATAACCTCTATTTTAGGCGATTTTAAATCAGTTACTAGAAATGTGACCAAGTGCTTACGTCATTATAATGACGTTATATTATCTGATTTAAAAATGTTTGGTTTATATTGACACTAACTTGACAATGCGCATGACATCAGTTATAAAAGTATTTTAAAAAAACCGACTTCAAAATCGTGCAGATGCCATCATCACATCTGAGTTATCTCGTTGTAAAGAATTACAGCTAAACATACATAAAAAATTAAGAGTTTAAGGATTTTCTAATGGACTCATTTATTAGGTTTTGACTAAATTAATATAGGACCACCCCTGAAGTACCCTTTCTAACAAAAAAGAATTATTAAAATCGGACAACGTGTTAAAGAATTATCGCTGAACATACATAAAAAATATATTACGACGAATTGAGAACCTCTTCCTTTTTTAAAGCTGGTTAATAAATATGTGTTTTGTGTACTGATCACGGTTGAAGAGAAAATTGGTGTTGCAGTTTCTTTTATTAAACCTTTTGCCATCTTAGCTATCTTCAAAAATAAATTTGCTTTTCATTTACAAAAACCTTTAATTGCGTCCATATCTATGTACTCAGCTAGGGTTACCAAACGTCTCGCTTTAGGCGTAATTGTTGGCACGCGTTACGCCAAAGTACGAAAATGCCCCTTCATAAACACAACCAAACAATAATTTAATGACTAAAGTAAAAGTTTTACATTTGTCATTTCATTTGACATTTCATACCTGTGATGACCACGTTTTTGCTGTAGTCATGTTAAACTTGACCATTTCAAGACTATATTCAATATGACGTCATTGTTTTTGATTTACATCAGTGTAGTCAATCATATTCAAGACCTAGTATCTGATTTAAAATCGCCTTTTAATTGGAAATGAAGAAATCCTAATAATAATTGTCATTATCTGTCATGACACGTAAATGTCACGATGCGTTTAACAACTTCAACTCATATTTTGGACTATACCGTAAACGTTATTTTTGTGCGTTGACGTTC